ACCACAGTTTGTTTAACCACTCAGCCACTGAAGGACATTTTTTTTTTCCAGTTTTTAGCAATTGGGAATAATGCTGCTATGAACATTTGTGATCAGATTTTGGTGTGAACATAAGCTTTCATTTCTCTGTGACAGATGTCCATGAATGTGATTGCTGGGTTGTATGGTGAATGTATATTTAGTTTTATAGGAAACTACCAAATTATTTCCCAGAATGGCTGTACCATTTTACATTCCCACCAGCAATGTATGCATGATCTAGTTTCTCTGTATCCTTGCCAGCATTTGGTGTTGTCACTATTTTTTATTTTCATCATTCTGATAGGTATGTAGTGATATCTGATTGTGGTTTTAATTGCATTTGGATAATGGTTAATGATGTTTAACATCCCTTCATGAGCTTATTTGCCAACGTATATCTTCTTTGGTGAAATGTATGTTCATGTCTTTTGCTCATTCACTGATTTTTTTTTTTTTAAATATTGGTTGGTTGTCTTCTCATTGACTTATAAGAGTTCTTTATATACTCCAGATTCAAGTCCTTTGTCAGATATATATTTTGCAAACATTTTCTCCAAGTTTATAGCTTCCCTTTCCATTTTCATAGCAGTGTCTTGTGTCTTTTGAAGAACAAAAGTTTTAATTTTGATGAACTCTACTGGTTTTTGTTTTGTTATGAATGATACTGTTTGTGTTTTATTTAAGCAGTCTTTGCCAAACCACAGGTCACTAAGATTTTCTCTTTTGTTTTCTTCCAAAAGTTTGTGCTAATTACACGTAATTATCTTCAGTGTTCGATTGTTGAAATGAGCTACAGGACCCATAGTTTATACTCATATTTTATTACAGGTATTGCAGTCCCAGCAGAAGGAGGATATGCACTGCAGGTGTCTGAAGATCTCAGGTGGAGGCTTCTTTGAACTTCTACCACTCAGTTACCCAGGATACACTTTGATTTCCGGTCTCAAACCACTTGTGTACTGTGTATGTGAAGCCCCTCAGTATTGGAAGCCCAAGTCTGCTCAGGGTGGGGTCTTATATTTATATTGAACGGGTCACAAATGCACATTATAGCTATGTGACCAGCCTTAACTTTTAACATCCCCCAGGCCTCATTAAGACTAGGTACAAATAACAAATTCAGTGCTTACTGCACAGTATTGGCAGGCTGGTGGTCCTGCTCTGAAACAACTCACTACCCATGGTTTATTTATTTTTATTTTTTAAAAAATATTTTATTTGTTTATTCATGAGAGACAGAGAGAGGCAGAGGCACAGGGAGAAGCAGGCTCCCTGATGTGGGGCTGGATCCCAGGTCCCTGGGCTCATGACCTTAGCCGAAGGCAGATGCTTAACCGACTGAGCCACCCAGGCATCCCCAAAATTGTAATTTACAAAATGAATAGCAGAGACAGAGTGCAGCGAGCGAGCAGAAGTCTGGGAGCCTCTCGGAGCACAAGGGATCTTCCTGTGGTTTATGGCGCGGTATCCTAAGGTGAGACTGAAGGTCTGACATTCAGGAGGCAGAGGCTTGACATCAGGCCCCCAGCATCCAGGCCAGGACTTCAGGTGCTGCTCACCCTACCTGAAAAAATGAGAGAAGAACCAACCCTGAGACCCCTACCGCCCGGGCCCACTCCCCAGTCCACATCCAGCCTGTTCAATATAAAGAAATAATTCAAGCTAAGGTGGGCTGACAGAACTGAGAAGAGGGTTAATGGGGAACCGGTAAATAATCATCTAGCCCAGGCTGGTACAACAGCTCTTATTTCTCCAGGGCGCTGTTAGTGCGGGGTGTTGGGGCTGGGGAGCATCAAGGGGGAGGGCGTTACCCCAGCCCAGCCCAGCTCGGCCCTCCCAGCGCCCCCGTGGGAGGTTGTCTGCACTCCCTCCAGCCCCTGCTCTGCCTACTTCTGCTCTCAGTGCATCAGTCATTGATGGTACTTCAGAGGTACGTGTGTCCACACTCAAGGTCAGAAATGTAGCCCCATCAGGCTGTGGGTGCTGAGCCTGCCCGCTGCCCCCTGCAAGGCTGAGTTGTGTTGGTGAGGAACTGGGAAGTTCCTTCTGACACCAGGTCTCAGACTGCTGGCAGCCCCACCCCTGCCAAAGAGCGCTTGGCCCCAAGGGGCGGCATCTCTTTCTGAAGCCCCCTCCCCCTGCCCTCTCCCCAGGCAAATACTGGTTGGCTTTCCGCCACTATAGATTAGTTTGCATTTTCTAGAATTTTATCTAGATAAAATCATACAGTATATACTCGTTCGTCTGGCTCCTTCCCATCAGCATAATGGGAAGATTATGGACGATGATGGACGATTATGGACAATTATGGAAGACTTTGAGATTCGTCCATGTTACTGTGTCAGTAGTTCACTCTTTATTGCCGGGTAGTGTTTCATTTTGTGGATGTGCCATACTTTATCTGTTCTCAAACTGATGGACATTTTAGGTTGTTTCTCATTTTTGGCTATTACAAGTAAAGCTCCTATGAACATTAATAAATCTTTGTGTGGGCATATATTTTCATTAACCTTGAGTAAATAGCTAGGAGTAGAACAACAGAGTTGGATGAAATTTGTATGTTTAAATTTATAAAAACCCGCTAAACCTTTCTCCAAAGTAGTTGCACCATTTTACATTCCACCAGCAGTGTGGAAAGTTCCAGTCTCTCCACATCCTTGCCAACACTGGTAGGGTCCGTCATTGTTCGTAGCCATCCTAGGGGGTGTGTAGTAGTATCTCTCTGTGGTTTTAATGTACTCTTCCTTAATGACCAATGATGTTGGACATCTTTTCATGTGCTTATTTGCCATTGGCGTATCTTCTTTGCTGAAGTGATTATTCATATTTTTTACCCTTTTTTTTTTTTTTAGGGAACAAAATATTGTGCAAGTAAGTGCTCACAACCTTCCCCTTCCCCTGCCTTCTGAGGAGGTGTTGGTGTATTTGTGGTTCATTAAGGGCAGAGATGAGAAGAAGGGGCATGGGTCTAGAATGATCTATTTGGAACAGACCTGGGAGGGTTGGGGCAGGGGGAATAGAAGAATCCTGTTGGAGGGGAGAGGGAGGAGAGGAGGAGAAGGCTGGGAGCTAAGAGGGAGAGGGGCAGCAATGGGGGAGAGGAGGAGTGGAGCTGGGGGATCTGCTGTGAGGATCCTCCCCTCACCGTCGCCTCCAGAAAAGCCTAAGCTCTTCGTGTCTGCTCAAAGCTTTTGGAATTGGGTCAGTGTTACTTTTGACTGTGTCACTACGCTGAGATGGTGGGGGCAGGGGCGGGGAATGGTTTTGTTTGAGTGTTACATAAACATTGAGCAGTTGTAGTTTTATTCTTGGTGTTGGCCTTAGCGATAGAAGGACAATGATGGAGAGGAGCAGGGTGGGGAAGCATTTTAAAAAATAACAAAAATTAAAACATTTTTATTTTGCAGTAATTATAGGTCCATGAGAAGTTGCAGAAAAATATTCAAGGAGGTGTCATGTACCCTTCACCCAGTTTTCCCTGAAGGTAACCTCTTCCCTAACTACAGTATGATATAAAACCAGGAAATTGGCAGTGCTTACTCAGATTTCACTAGTGTTACCTGCACTCGTGTGTGTGTGTGTGTGTGTGTGTGAGTGTGAATATGAATAGTTCTGTGCAGTTTTATCACAGGTGGAGATTCATGTAACTAGCCCTACACTCAAGACACAGAACAACTATATCACCTCAAGACTCCCTCAGGCTGTCCTTTATTGACTTCCACCCCCCTCTCTCCCTCTCCTTTCCTCCTCACCCCCAGCAGCCACTAATCTGATTTCCATCTCTACCATTTTGTCATTTCAAAAATGTTACGTAAATGGAATCATACAGTATGTTGCCTTTTGAGATAGGATCAGTGTTACTTTTCTCACTCAACACAATTCACTTGAGATGCGCCTAAGCTGTTGAACGTATCAGGACGCTGTTCCATTTTATTGTTATTTCCTGGTGTGGATATACCACAGTTTTTTTTTTTTTTTTAAAGATTTTATTTATTCATTTGAGACACAGAGATACAGAGAGAGAGAGAGCATGAACAGGGAGAGAGGCAGAGGGAGAGGGAGAAGCAGGCTCCCCGCTGAGCCAGGAGCCCGACGCGGGGCTCGATCCCAGGACCCTGGGATCATGACCCGAGCCGAAGGCAGATGCTTAACCATCTGAGCCACCCAGGCGCCCCAGATACACCACAGTTTGTTTAACCACTCAGCCACTGAAGGACATTTTTTTTTTCCAGTTTTTAGCAATTGGGAATAATGCTGCTATGAACATTTGTGATCAGATTTTGGTGTGAACATAAGCTTTCATTTCTCTGTGACAGATGTCCATGAATGTGATTGCTGGGTTGTATGGTGAATGTATATTTAGTTTTATAGGAAACTACCAAATTATTTCCCAGAATGGCTGTACCATTTTACATTCCCACCAGCAATGTATGCATGATCTAGTTTCTCTGTATCCTTGCCAGCATTTGGTGTTGTCACTATTTTTTATTTTCATCATTCTGATAGGTATGTAGTGATATCTGATTGTGGTTTTAATTGCATTTGGATAATGGTTAATGATGTTTAACATCCCTTCATGAGCTTATTTGCCAACGTATATCTTCTTTGGTGAAATGTATGTTCATGTCTTTTGCTCATTCACTGATTTTTTTTTTTTTAAATATTGGTTGGTTGTCTTCTCATTGACTTATAAGAGTTCTTTATATACTCCAGATTCAAGTCCTTTGTCAGATATATATTTTGCAAACATTTTCTCCAAGTTTATAGCTTCCCTTTCCATTTTCATAGCAGTGTCTTGTGTCTTTTGAAGAACAAAAGTTTTAATTTTGATGAACTCTACTGGTTTTTGTTTTGTTATGAATGATACTGTTTGTGTTTTATTTAAGCAGTCTTTGCCAAACCACAGGTCACTAAGATTTTCTCTTTTGTTTTCTTCCAAAAGTTTGTGCTAATTACACGTAATTATCTTCAGTGTTCGATTGTTGAAATGAGCTACAGGACCCATAGTTTATACTCATATTTTATTACAGGTATTGCAGTCCCAGCAGAAGGAGGATATGCACTGCAGGTGTCTGAAGATCTCAGGTGGAGGCTTCTTTGAACTTCTACCACTCAGTTACCCAGGATACACTTTGATTTCCGGTCTCAAACCACTTGTGTACTGTGTATGTGAAGCCCCTCAGTATTGGAAGCCCAAGTCTGCTCAGGGTGGGGTCTTATATTTATATTGAACGGGTCACAAATGCACATTATAGCTATGTGACCAGCCTTAACTTTTAACATCCCCCAGGCCTCATTAAGACTAGGTACAAATAACAAATTCAGTGCTTACTGCACAGTATTGGCAGGCTGGTGGTCCTGCTCTGAAACAACTCACTACCCATGGTTTATTTATTTTTATTTTTTAAAAAATATTTTATTTGTTTATTCATGAGAGACAGAGAGAGGCAGAGGCACAGGGAGAAGCAGGCTCCCCACGGAGCAGGGAGCCTGATGCAGGACTTGATCCCAGGACCCCGGGATCATGACCTGAGCCGAAGGCAGACGCTTAACCGACTGAGCCACCCAGGCGCCCTCAGCAGGTTCTTTACACAGTTTCAGGATTTCTCAACGTGCTCTCTTCAGAAGCATAGAATTCTTACATGGCAACTGAGAACCCCAAAGCTGAGTGTTCCAAGAGACATAAAATCCTGAGCCCAAAGCTGGCCCAGTACTATTTCCTCTGTATTCTATTGGTCAGAGTGGCTAAAGAGCCTGCCCAAATTTAAGGGCAGAGGACAAAGACCTCACCTTTCTATGGGAGAAGTTCCAGAGAATTCATGGCCATCCTTCATCTGCCACAATGGAACAGCCAGATCCTCCCCTGAGACCCAGCCAAGGACTGATGAGTTGGGAGGGAAGGAGACCACCAGGCAGAAGTTATAGGGCAGGTAGAGGTTCTGCCAAGGTGGGGCTTCCTTCAGGGTCAAGAGCTTTAGTGTCTAGCTGAGGCTATTCCATGGCAGGTCTCTGTGCTCCCCCAGCCTGTTTTCCTTCTATAAAATAAGAGTTGATGATTTCCAGACTGTCCAGAACTGTCCAGCATCCCACACATTTTACCTCGCCTGTGGCTGTGAGATTTCCTGCCTCATGAGACAACAGTCATGGAAACCAACATGTCCTGGGGTAGGAACTGCCACTCTTCTGAATATTTGCCATCCACCTTCCTAAAGTCAATCTGTGCCCAGCCACAGGGATGAGATATGGTGTCATACAAAGCGGCCTCATTAAGCAGTAATCCTCAAATATAGTAGGGTACTATTTATGTAAATTATTTTAAAAAGCACAGTATATCTGTATCAACCAGAGTTCATGTCATCACAGCTGGTATTTATAATGACCTTCTTTATTACCCATTCTGCATTCCCTTTGCCTTTAGAAAGCACCTTAGCTGGTTGTGATTGTTTACCTGGTAGGGTGACCCAAATCTTCATTCCTGAATGGTCTGGGCCATCAGCAGTCGTGCCTGACTTGGCTGTTAGAGTTTTCCATTGATTTTAATCACAGGGCATGGTAGTATAAGAGACTCCCTAAGGGATCTTCTGTATTCCAGACATATTTCCTTACCTCCATTGTGTACGAGCAGCCCAGTTTGCCCTTGGTAATCAGGATCAATCACCTACATAACACAATGACTTCATTTGCTTGTTGGTTCAGAGGCATGAAGAGCCCGAAGTGGTCGGGTGGCAGTCTCAACTTCTAGTTCAATGGAATCATTATTGTGCCTCCAGGGGCAAGCATTCCTCCCTTTGGAACTAGGGCTTAGATCAGTGGAGCATAAGGCAGTGGGGGTGGGAAGAAAAATTTTTGCTAGTGGATCATGAGGGAGAATAGTGAGTGGAGCCACTTCCATTTCCACTTCTTGATTCCTGGACCTATGAATCCTGGCTATGGGGAAAATAGCACCATATATTGGATGCTGATTTCTGCATCCTGCAGGACACTGTGACAGTCCCTCAAGGTATTTCTACCTACCTGGCACCAAAACTGAGTCTTCGAAAGGCCCTTTCACCATTATGTCAAGCCACTGCCTTAGGATGATGGGAAACATGGTAAGATCAGTGGATTCCGTGAGCACAGGCCCATTTCTTCACTCCACTTGCTGTGAAGTGAGTTCTTTCACCAGAAGTGGTGCTGTGTAGAACACAAGATGGTAGATAAGGCATTCTGTAAGTCCACAGATGGTAGTTTTGGCAGAAACATCGTGGGCAGGAAAAGGGAGTCCATATCCAGAGTAAGCTTTTATTTCCATAAGACCAAAGTGCTTGCTGTCATTTCCATGATGGAAGCTGTCCAACAGAATCAACTTGGGAATAGTGCCATACTGGGGACTTAGTCTCTGCTGCTGGCAAGTGAGACAGTGGCTGTAGCCAGGTTGGCCTTGGTGAATGATCCCTGTTGCTGAGCCCATGCATAACCTCCATCCCTGTGATCAGGGCCACTTTGTTCGGATGATAAGCGCATCGGGTGATGAGTGGGGTGCCTGAGTAGTAACCATGGAGTGGATCATCCTAGGCACTTGATTATTACAATCCTCCTCTGCTGAGGTCACCCTTTGGTGAACATTCACACAGGACACAAATCATGTTTCTTAGCCCAGAGAGGTCTATCCATACACCTCTTCCCCAAAATTCACCATCACCAATTTTCCAATTATGTTCCTTCCAGATCCCTGGTAATCTAACCAAATACTGGCTACACCCCATGAATTGGCAGAGACTCATGCCTCTGGCCATCTCTCCTCCCGGGAAAAATAAACAGCCAGGTTTATTGTTATTCTCCAAGATCAGTCTGTCCCCTCACCAAATAGGTGAGTTGAGTGGGGATGCGGTGGAAGTCACCACCCCTGAATCCTTCAAGTCCCTGATGGTGGCAATAATCTCTGCAAACCTTCCAAGAATTACTGTTTTCCTAGGCAGAGGCAGTTCTAGTGGCTTCCATTTGGCCTTTCCTGCCATAATAGCCCTCACTCCACAGGTCAGGGAACCAATATGAGAATTCTGTCAGTTGCTGAGCATGTCTTTTCCAATTCTGGAACCGGACAAGTAACCACAGGGTGGCATCAGGGACCCACTGTGCCCACTGAGAGATGAACTGGAGCTAAAACTCCATGGATCACCTGTGCTCCATAAGCCCCTGCTCTGAACGGTGGGTTTCCAGGAATCAGTTCAGAGTCAGTGTCCAATAATCTCTGAAAGGTATAATTTCTTCTTTTTCTCCAACACACAGCAGTGACCCTGGCAAGTAGCTATTGGTCCCTTTGGGGAAGGCTAAGAGAAAGATTAACAAGATAAGTTTTTGGCAGTTTAGTGGCGTCCTTCCTCAAGGGGACCTGGTCTCCCCTTTATTTAAGAAGTTCTGGGTTTAGGGCACCTGGGTGGCTCAGTTGGTTAAGCGACTGCCTTC